TCGTTGCCCCCTCATTGCAGCGTATACACGGCAGAGCAGAGTGCGATTTGGCACGCTCTCGAGGCAGTGGTGGTTATTGTCAGGGTTCTCGGACAAGTCGGCCTGGAAGGTAACGAACGTGCGGACATCCCACCCTCCATTGAAGAAGATCAGGTCCTGTGCCGCTAAGCACGCAGTGAAAAACATCATAAAAGAAAGATGGCAGCGTCAGTGGGCGGGGTCATCGGAGAGGCTCTTGCGAGTCAAGACCACGATCGTAAAAAGGCCCTCAGTGAATCTAAGGAAGAGACGAGGGATCGTCCTCTCCCAATTGAGGATTGGCCATATGCGGTTGACACGGGCACCTGCTTTTGGGCCAAATCCAACCCAGTGCACCTTATGCAGAGAAAGGTTGCTCGATGTGTCCCACATAATAGAGGCGTGTCATACCTTGAGATTGGCTCCATACAGAGAGATGTGGTCATGCCGCCGGATTGAAGAATGGTTTTCGGACATGGTAGCGAGTTTCAGAATCCCCTGTTGCGCTTTTAAGTAGAATTGGGAATTTTTTATGCCGTCAAACTTTTTTTTGAATTTTTTATGAAAAGTTTTTCTCAATGAGTGTATTTATTAGAGCGAATGGGGAGGGGCTGATGGTTAATTAGCATCGCTCATCAAGCTCTATCGACATGGGCCGATTGCGGAATATTTATGAAAGTACACCATCGACCCCAATTGGATTAGTTTGGTGTTGTGTGCATGTCGATGGAGGAATATTCAGTACTCCATCTATTAGTAGAATGAATGCAATGTACATAGGTGTGAATGTATTTGTTTGAGTGAATGCGTATTGCAGGTTGACCAAGCTTTCGGATGCCCCTTAAAAAAGAAAAAAACACTTATACTTTATATTATTTGAACGGTGATCGGTTATAGATACATGAAGATAGATAATAAATTCTATTTACTTTTCCTTCGAGAATGTGGTAAGATTTGAGAGCGGGTTTGGCTTTATTGAATTTTTCTATATTTACTTATACTTTTATACAGATACTAAACATATGGAAAAGGTTTGCCGATATTATCTAGCACTTATTCATTGTCTAGCATTTATACTTCACGTTTTCATTATTTTTTAAAGGAAGATGAGTGAAAAACAGTGTTGTTTACGAGATTAAACATTGATTGTTCAAAGTAACGATAATTTTGTTTACTGTGTTTTTCTTCAATTGACAAAATGATTGGTTTTTATATAAAAGACCTTGTTATCGATCTACTCAAACAACCCGGTTAGATTAAGGCGCATAATAAATTAATTACCAAGCAATTTAAACACGAGGTGAAAGCCGAACGATGCGGGAGACCTGGACCCGTTAAACAATTTGCGCCATGAACAATGAGAAGAGGGTTGAAAGAGAAGAAAGGGATATTGCGCAATTGAGATATACGGGGCTAGTGGAAAATGAGAAACAAGTGGTGTAATTAATTTACAGGTTAATTAAGAAAGGCGACAGATGAGAAATGATGATCTTGTAAGATTTAGACTCTACAACAGACAGACGGATTTGGCAAAATAAATCTAATTTCTAAACACCAAATATTACTCTTAAGAACCAAAACTATATGTTCACCTAGAAGGTTTGAGATATAAAATAACAAAAACGTGTAGACTAAAAATGTAATATTTAAAATTATAGTTTTAAAATGGTGAACTATTTCCAAACTACCTATACAATTAGGTGTATAAAATTATACATTGTATAAAATAATATGAACTCATTTAAAACCCAAAAAATTATATTTATGTAATCGATGCTGATGTATACCAATTTTTAATCTGAATAAGCGATTTTAGTGGTTTTTTTTTACTAATAGATGTGAGAGCTTAAAACTATGAAGAGGAATAAAACATCAACTTAGAAACGTACAGTGGAATAAGCTATAACTATTAACTAGAATAAAAAATACATTAATTTATCCAAAATTACCACAACAAGCAATTAAACGAAGGTTTCGGGCCTTAAGGGCCCTTTTTCAAGGTACAAACGTTCTGAAAACAATATGTAAATTTTGTTAAAACCGATTTTTCATTTATCCAATTTTTATACAAAATTCTTAAAAAATGCAAATTTGATTTAAAAAGAATGAAATAAATAAGAGGATAATCATTTCTTGTAAAAAATGATTAAGTCTTTAGGGCAGAACACAAGTATTGAAGATTATAGAATTTTAGAACACGAAAAACTATGATAAAAATTTGAATTATTTAATTGAAAAGCATCTACGTATAATATTTTCAGATAATTTAATAGGCTATATAAATTATTTGGACATTCAAATGTAAAAAAACAACTAACGCTACTTACTTACAAATACTTGATATAAAAAATGGAACAAAAATTAAATTGAAATTATAAAACTTAGATGGTGGAGTGAGATCAGTTTTGTACTTAGTGTTAAGATTCACAATGTGTAGACTAGCACTTTGTCCCACCTTAACAATATTAGATTATTACAGTTTAAAAAGATATTTTTAACGGAAGAATTTATTTTGATTTGTACACACAGCAATAAAACATATAAAATACACTAAAGTACAGAGAAAACTTGACGTATAATATAATATAATACAATAATTAACTTACTTTACAATATTTGTAACTGTTTTCATTGAATAAATCCCGAATCACAATTCCAATTGATACAATCCACGTCTCTATTTTTTTAGTCAAATAAAACCTCTTATGATCATAGAATATTTACTAGATTTACCATGTCCCCCCTGACACATTCATATAAACAGGAAAATGAATATTCATGCTTCACAATTTCACACGAAACAAACATGACATACAAGAATAGCATCACACTTTATGTGAGTACGAAATACTTGGTTCAAAATTGATATTATTTACTTCTGTATTGTATAATTATTTTTTCCCGTAAATCGAATGTTGGTAATTCACCCAGGCCATGAAGATGACCCGAATAAACGTCGAAACGTCGGCAAAACGTTGCGAAAAAAGGAAAAAGTGTTTGTCTAAAATAATTCATTCCTGACCGCTCCTAACTACTTAAAAAATTATTGAACAACCCGTCGATAAATATCACACAAAAATATATAGTTTACAAAATATAAAGGGGTAGGAGTAAAAATTGAATTTGTTGTATATTACTCTGTTTATCCTATTGACCATAAAAAAATGATCGTAAACAGTTTTGATAAAAAATACAATTTTTATGACAGAAATGTAGGTTTTATTAGAATATAAAGTAAAAAAGCATAAGGTTGCATTTAAAGAAAAATTATTGCGGTACCCTGTATTTCGGCGGCAGACAAAAAGAGAATAAAGGAGGTTAGATTTTTGTAAAATATTGTTTGCTCTGTTTAACCTTTTATTTGTAAACTTAGTTTCAGCAAAGAAATCCTTATAAACAAAAAATGATCCTCGTTATTTTATTATATTAATAATAATATCTTAATTTTTAATTTTATCTCAAGAAAAACCTTGACCTTTTCGATTAAAAAAAACTGTTATTTAAATTTTCAGTATTTGTAAAATGTATTTTAACTTGTTCTATAGCAAAAAACATTTGTACAAAATATTGTGATACCCTGTATATTAGCGAAGAAAAAATAAATAAATTAGAGTGGAGCTAAAAAAGAGAACCGGCATGAAATAAACACACCTGGTGTCACGACACTTCCCTGTTTAATTTAACGTGAGTAAAATGCGAATAATTCTATAAATATTGAAAATGGTCAAATTTGTATAGTTTGTTTTAATGTACCCCATTATTGTTTGTAGGCATTTTGCCTAGAAAAAAGGCAGTAAATCCTCCCGAACGTTGGCCAAGAAATATATGTATTGAATAAAAACTGGAAGTTCTCACTTCATTCCAAAAACAGCCACTAATAATTAAAAACAGTCTTCACATCCTAATTAATTAATAAATATTAAGTATTCAAGAAAAAGGGCACCTCTCTTGACAGCTACAAAAATACCAATGCGCAGCATTTTTTGCAAGAGTCTTTCAGTTTTAAGAGGGAAAATCGGATAATTTATTTCGACGCTCCATTTCCAGCTCGCAGATTTATTGCTGTTCGGATTTTTAGTTCAGACCAGAGTTGGATTTTTGCTTTATTTCTTTCTCGTTTTCTACTTTCTGCCCTGTGATTTCGGCTGGATGTATTATCAATGTAATTTTTTAAAGAACTAATTTCATTGTAAAAACTAAAATAGTTTTTTATATTCTTATTTTTTCAGTATTTCGTCATTTGAATTCCTCGAATTTCATTTTACGGTGTAACAGATTTTTTCAATAATTTATTTTGATTTATTTTTAAAACCTTTATTTAACCGTCAACGATCCTCTATTCAATTCATATAGAATTAATATTTTGTTGTTTCAGTTAAACATTTCAGCATAAAATAGTACAAGTTAGAGGTATTGAAGGGGACAAAACCTGAAAAATCACAAATACTTCTTAAAAAGTCCTTTTTATTTTCGGTTCATGAATTGGACGTCTTTCTTTTCTTTTTTCCAGTCGGAAGTGCCCCTTTTCATTACCTTTCCATAAACATTTCCATTCACGAGTTTCAAGATGCCTTATTTAGACGGCAGGACGGATTTTACAATTTTAAAATATTTTTTCTTTTAACTGCCTCATTAATATACGACGTGTATTGTTGTAAAATGTGCATATTCAGTTTATATTATTTATACATATTTTTATATTCATTTGTTCATAATTGTATAAATCGAAAAATTTGTATGTACTTATTCTGTGAGGGAGCGTGGTTACAAAACTTTTAATATAACAATTTGTTGGATTTGTGAGTAGCGGTCAAGAATGAGGTAGTATAGAAAAACACCTTTATTCAAGGCTTGGGTGAATTAGAAAACATATGTTGATTGGAAAAAATACAATACATATGTAAATATAAACTTTGAACCATATATTTTCATACTCACATAAAGTGTAGTGATATTCTTGTGGTGTCATATTGGCGTTGTGTGAAATTGTGGTGAAACGTGAATTTGTATTCTGCTATTTTTATATGTTTGTGACAGGGTTGGGGACGCGGTAAATATGAGAAATATTCTTGGACAATAGACGGTTTTAGTTAACTCAAAGAAGTCGAGAATGGGTATTTTTGGTACGGTCACTAAAAAACTCTCTTTTCATACGTTTCTATAATAAATAGGAAATAAAAATGAAACGTTTTGATCAGTTATAGCTTACATTGCACAGTGATGAATATTTTTACATTTTATAAGCGGGTCTATAACTTTTGATTACCTACTAAAAATTGATTGCGCTCTTCTCTATATTCTATCTATATCTGTAATAAAAAATATCGCGAGGCGTCGGTGGCCGCAACGGTTTAGGCTTTGACACGGCGCTCATCACTGTAAGGTAAAGGTCCGGGGTTCGAATCCAACGGCCCAGCATTCGAATCCGACATACTTACAAATAGGCTTTTTTCTCAAAAACACCGGTACCTTGAGGGTTTAAATGACCTCTGCTGTTGTAAACGCTCGTAAAAATAAGAAAAATATCCCCTTCCATTTTAAAACACATTTTTTTAAGAACCTTGTATATTCTGTGATTAAAGTCAACATACATAGATAAAAATGAAACTGAGAAAAGTCATTAGGCACCTGATTTATATATTTTTTGTTATTTTGATGGAGTGAATCCACAAGGACGCATGGAATTGTACGGAGCAGTTTTAGTGTGCGTTTATGCTTTACATTTTTTTCAAATTTTCATTTTAGTGCATTTCAATTTCGCAAGGTTTATTTTACTTTATTAATATTTTTATGTAAGGTATTGATTGAGATAAAGTCGGTTCCCGAACGGGATTCGAACGCACGACCTTCGACTAAATACGCCGCTGCTCTACCACTTGAGATATCGTGACTTCCATCCACTCGAGCGATCGGACACTAACTTCTTATCTCAACCCAACCTTTCGAATTTTCCAATTTTTTTTATCTCAACCAATACCTTACATAAATATTAATTAATTGAAAGATACTTTTTGGTCGATCGGACCACGAAATCTAATGAATTTAATAAGTTAAATGTAGTATATCTTCACTAAAGCTTTCCGTGGCCAGTACATTTGTCACAGAGAAACAAATAGATTACACGATATTTGAAAAATGGCAAAAAGGAGGGAAACTTTGAATTATTTTACGAATATCAATTATTTTATGTTAAGGTTGTTAGGATATAATTATATCCTAAGCTTCATTCGGCTCATTTTTCAATGTTATGTTATTATTTTGTTTAGTGAAAAAATTAAAAACTAAGTATATAACTGTTTAACCACGTTTTTTGATCTTTTGTACCCAAACAAATAAAAATGGATTGTTGAAATTGGGGCTTCACAAGTTGGAAATATTTCGGCGTTTCATATCTGATGTTAGACGTGATGAATTCAATTAAATCAATCACTGACGGCTCATTTTAATCGTTCTGAATCAAGGCAGAATTTAATAACGGATAGAGCAAGGGCTGTACAGTTTAATTAATTAGGGGTGTAAAGGGTGTCAGGCGTTCTATTGAAAGATGGTTTCATGTTCTGATGGAATACCGCCGCATGTGAATTCTCTTGATAAATATTTATCTGTTTATTAATTTAAAACATCATATGAAAAAAATACATAGTTTCTAAATGTCTTATATATTATGCGAATTTTTAATGCTGAATAAATGATCAAATTATTCTGATCGTTTCCTCTTTTTGTTTTAACAGGTGAGATTTTCTCCCGGAATCAAGAGATGCCGAGTGTATGGCAGGCTACAATTCAAAAGGTATTTTCTTTCCCCAAGCAGAATTTTCCGATACGACCCCTTCCCCTCCAGTAAGAACCCTCGTGGAGTCTGACCCAGTAGGGTCATAAGGTCGAATCGAGGTCACCTTCGCATTGAAAAACTTCTCGCCTTTTACCCGGCCCATTTTCGAAATGTGTTTTCCGTAATTTATTTATTTTTTGAAACGAGTAATTCGATTTACCGACGGGCGGCGTTCGTTAGCGCCTTTTCCTATACATTTATTCCCATTGTAATATTGATGAGGACGTTTTAGGAAAATCGGAAAACTTTACAATCGTAAATGTCATTTAACAGTTTATAATCCCGTAGTATTTATTAGCGTTATTAAAGTAGTACGGTTTATAAACAGCTGAGTGTTCAAAAGTTTTTGAATAAATAAATGGGTTCAAATCAAGTAAAGCATAAAAAAATTTATTGTGCAAAAAAATAACATTTCCTTCAACTATTTAGTTACGAACTCTTGTTTATAGACATTTATTCCAACAAATAAATTTTTGCATTGTCTCATAATCCTTAAATGTTAGTACCTACCCCGTAAGCTTTAGTTTTCCTCGCTATTTTTTCTTCTATGTTTTAGTTGATTTATACTACAATATTTCTTAGTCATTTTATATTTGGTTGTAATGGGCTGTTCAATTTGGCCAGTTCATCTTATAAATATTATTTTTTATTACAATTTATTACAATTAATTAAGGTTTTTAGTTGAGATAAAAAAGTCAATGGCACGAGCGGGATTCGAACCCACGATCTTCGGCTTCATATGCCGCTACTCTACTACTTGAGCTATGGTGACTTCGATCCCCTCAGATACTAACTTCTCATCTCAACCGCACCTTTCGAATTTTCCCTCCTTTTTGCCATTTTTCAAATGCCGTGTAATCGGATTGGATTCTCGACGACAAATGAAATGGCCACAGAGAGCTTTAGTGAAGTATACTTCAATTTAATTAATTAAATTCACTATTTTTCGTGGCCTGCTTGACCAATTAATAACCTTCAATTAATTAAGGTTTTTAAGTTGAGATAAAAAAGTTAGTATCACGAGCGGGATTCGAACCCACGATCTTCGACTAGATACGCCGCTGCTCTACCACCTGAGCTATCGTGACTTCGATCCACTCGGACACTAACTTCCCATCTCAACCCCACCTTTTGAAAAATGGCAAAAGGAGGGAAAATTCAAAAGGTGCGGTTGAGATGGGAAGTTGGTGTCCGAGTGGATCGAGGTCACGATAGCTCAAGTGGTAGTGCAGCGGCGTATCAAGCCGAAGATCGTGGGTTCGAATCCCGCTCGTGCCATTGACTTTTTTTTATCTCAACTAAAAACCTTAATTAATCGTAACATATTAATTGGTCAAGCGGACCACGAAATTAGTGAATTTAATTATTTTTTATTAATTAACCACGGGCCTTTCTTCTGCAGACGGCTTTTGCCATGAAATATCTGTTTCTTTTTTGTTTCATAATATATTAACCAAAAAAAGCAAAGACTATTTCCTGTTTATTTACATCTCTATGAATTTTCATCATCATATTAATTAATGTATACATATTTTAATGTAAACCAAATGAAACGGCACTAAAAATTCATGAGGTTTAATTAAAATTATTTAATTATGACACTTCGAAAGAAAATTCACCAAAACACCGGAAAATTATTTAGTGATATATTAAAATTTAATTGACAAATGGACTACCAGGTTGGTCGGTTACACATAACATCGGATTATTATTTCCATTTAAAAATACAAACAGGCTTAATTTCTGACATTTTGCTATTTTTTGTTTTTTCTTATAGGAATATTTTATGTATTTTATTGTTATATAGGTCGTTAAAAAGCTACATTCCTCCTCTTTCAAATAATCTGTTTCATGTTAAAATCGTTTTAGCCGTTGTTGAATGATAACCGTTTCAATGATTCAGATATTCAGATTACGACTTCTCAAATATCCGAAAAATTTTAGTGGTAAAAAAACGGATACAATTAAATTCACAGAAAGATTTATAGTTACAGGTGTCTAGAAGTGCTAAACGAAATATCGTATTAATTGAAGTTAAAAAAAAACTATCAGCTAGTTTACTTGAAAAAGAACTGGTTTTTAGCAATTATTTGGTTATTAATAAGTTATAGTTTGGTAACTTTTACCATATTTTTATTACAATCTACATAAAACATTCTGTAAAATGATACATTCACATAGTTGATTTGAGCAAGTAGAAAGGTGAAATAGAAATATAAAAATTCGGAACATTTCAATTTTCCAATTTTTTTGGCAAAAGCAGGGCCTAGTCACAAGAAGTGGAGTAAAGGTCCGATTTTTGGAGTGTAGAATCATTATAAAAGTTTGATCCAAATCAGTGATTCACCAACCTTTTGTCCCATCTGGCCGTTCGAAAGGCCATAAGTCTGTCTCGTAGGCATCGAGTAAATAATTGATCGGATTTCGTTTTGCGAAACAGAACCCCATTTTTGAACATGGGCGTTTTGAAGCTGTTCACCGATGTCTTCTAGCTCAATCTCTTTATGATGTCCGGTAAGTGTACTATGGGATGATGTCTGGAGAATGTGCTGGCCAATTCATTGTGTGTAAACCTTTGATCCTCCAAGTAATGGGTGTAGTGATGTATTTACATTAAATTGTCCCCTATAAATGGAGTGAATGGACCACAGCTTCCAGAAGATCTTCCTCCTTGTACCTCAAGAACAATTCTGTTTGATAAGCATTTCGCTATGGGTATGGACGATGGTTCCACCCCTTACTATTACTGACTGCCTTTGAACAGAATATGACTTACGCGTTCTCCACGTCTTTTTCACAAATTAAACCGGCACCCATCTGTGAAAGAACATCCCCAATTCCAATGGTCCAAATGTTCAATTAATTGTGTTTAGTCATGTGTCTTATAAGAGGGGGGGGTCTTCAACTTAAATTCACCGTGAATAACCCAAGAGGATAGAAAACTGTTCACCAAATCTAGTAATTCCAAAAATAAAGAACTAATAATAAACTGAGATCAACCTTCATGGTTATAGTTAGCTTTGGCACTTCTGTTATGTTTCTGTTCTACCTTAAAAGTCATGTTACGTGGTTAAAGGATGAACATATAAGAATAATTCGTCAAATAAGAATTTGGTATTAGACTGCTTTTTGTCTGTATTGTTTGTTTTAAAAAAAGTATATTTTTAAGGTGAAGCCCCACGACGTTTCCCAACCTGTACGCCCAGCGGACTTAAAACTATTAATTTCAAATTCTGTAAAAAGAGAATGGGAAAACCGCTAGGCTCATAGAAATAGCAATAACCCTTCTAAACTGCGGCAGGTTAAGAAAGAAGTCGGTCCGTGGTCCACGGAGGACGGTTTGAAAAGGGAAAAAGCCATACTGAGGTAATACTAGAATAACGCAGGGGAACCTTCCGGCCAGAAAGCGACCGCATATGGGCCCGTTATGCAAGGATAGAAAAACGGAGAAATATTGTAGAAGGCTTGATGTATATAGACAATATTTTGGCAATCATCGGACCTGTGCTTAGTCTTGGTGCAGCGGGCACAGATCCCTTTCCGGTACCTCAGGGCCATAGGGATTTTTAAACGTTTTTTGTGTGTTTGTTGTGTTCTGTGTTGACTTTGTGTTAATTTATTGTAATAAGTGTAAATTATTACCGTGAAAGGAAGGGGTTGCTTATAACCCCGTCCCGAGGATATCGAGTACTCTGGGGTAAATATGTGACGTCTGGAGAGTAAAAGTAAGTTATTAGCGAGAATGGAGTGGGTTCAAACCCGCCCCGAAAAATATCGAGTACTCTGGGGGGGGGTGTGACTAGACGTCTATGTTTGTGACGATGTAATGTAGTTTATGTTTTGTTTCTATTATGTATTTGACAACCTGAGTTACAAACGGGAGGCATTTTTAGGATATCGGCGTTGTACGCATTTAAAAGGAGAGTCAGAAAGTAGATCGAGACGCTCAAATCGCTGCAGTTTACACAAAATACGCGAGAAAGAAGAGAAAAAACTCGCAGAGGCTGGCGAAGACCTCACCTGTTTGTCGGCCCATAAACTTCCCACTTTATTATTATTATTTAAGGTGAATAGCGAAATTTTTATACATTACCATTGTTGTCCGTTTTTTCTCATTTTTTTCCCGATCGGAACAGTATTATGTTTAAGGTGTTGAACTGTTAAATTCTAGTTTTTGTTTTTATGTCAATATTCGGTTAACCTTACTTGGCTTTCTGTAAATATACTATAGCAAAAATTATGTGTGCTAAACAGAAGCCATTAGCTTTTACGTCGTCAAATATGGATACAGCATTAAATTTCACACTTCTTTTCAATAGTGTTGGGTGTATTATTCATACATTAATTAATCAACATGTAATGTTCCACCCCGACTAGACTAGACTAAGAAAAAACATACCTTTAAAGGATGATCGCTTATTCTTTATTCGTCAGGTTGGCTTCAGAATATTAAAACTTTGTAAATAACAGTAATATCTGTACATGTGATATCCTGAATAGTATAGTTTTCTTGTTCTTTGTTTTTCGCTACGTATCGGTGGTAGATTTATACTGTATTTTATATTACATGAGATATACTGTTTTAAGCTCAAAAGGTTCCTTGTAAGAAATATTTAATCATGGGACGTATTTACATTTTACTAATTTATTAGAAAGACGTGTTTCTTCATTTAATAAGTACAATTCATTACAACATAAATTAATGGAAGAATAAATATTTTCTAAATCAAAAGATTTCACAAAAGTAAGCGAGATTTTATATATTTGTTCATATATGAAAGTTTTCTGTTTTAAATTAATTGCTAATTGTTAGAATTAACAAATTTTACTGAGCTGAAAAAGCCCCATGGAAATTTGTTTCATAATTTAGAAAAACCAACCAATTGTTGCGAGACGTAATTATCAGTAATTTATTAAACACTGAAACAAAACTATTGTTAATTTTATAGTTTGCAAT